AAATATATGGAGTTTCTGGAACACTTATTTTCACCACACCCAGCAAGCACTATCTGATGGTACTAGCATTTTCTTTCTACCTATTTTCTTGATTAAAAGCATCCTCTGTCCTCCTTTTAATACTACATGAAATCAACAATGGGAATTTAACAAATACATGTCTGCATATATAGGTTTGCTTTCTCATACATCCCAGGCTTATTCACCAGTTTTTGTGATCAATGTTTTTCCAAACCCAGCAAGTACTACACGCTAGTACTAGCCCTTTCTTTTTAATTCACTACTGACTTGATTAAAACTATCTTCTATGGTAGCAAGAATGGTAAATTTTACAAATACATGTCTGCATAGATTTGATTTCTCATACATGTACATTCCAAGGGCTTATACACCAGTGTTTGTAATCAATTTTTTTGCCGTTAGATGGGTTTTCTCCAGAGTTATTCCTAACTGCGCTGAAATAGCTGAAATTCATGCCCTTCATTGTGTCTTTGTTATCAAGGCTTTGTATCCAGAAAGTAATGAAAATAAATGGGGTTTTTGAAACACTTGTTTGCACTTGAAGCACTATCTGCTGGTATTAGCATTTTCTTTCTACCTATTTACTTGATTAAAATTATCCTCTCCAGTAGAGATTAACCACCTGAGATCAAGAATGAAAAGTTCACATACACACACAGATAATGTCTGCATAGATTTGCTTTCTCTCTCATTCATACATCCCAAGGGCTTATACAATTAGTATTTGTGATCAATTCTTTTGCAGTTAGATGAGTTTTCTCCAGAGTTATTCCAACTGCGCTGAAATAGATGAAATTCATGACCTTCATTAAAATTGACAGAATGCCCAACAGTGCGGCAGTGCTGCTTGTCAGTGGGAATTGGCGCCTTCCTTAGTGCTGTAGCTCATATTTACGTCCTGCTAGTGAACTTAATGGATTGGAACAGATACTTGGCCAAGGGTGTGTTGTATAGCAGTGTAATGTTGTTGCTTTTATATGATTTTGTAGTATGTGCAACGTTATGTGATTTGGAATCCAGGAAGAGTATAGCTGCTTTTGCAGTCGCTTTTGCAACTAATAGATATCCTTATGATGTATCAAGTATCAAGTCATTCCATCATTTTTACTCACGAATATTTAAGTCCTGCTATAGTGAACTAAAATGTATTGGGAAAAATTCTTGGCCAAGTGCTTGTCATTCCATCACTTTTACTCACAACCAGTGTTCAAGCAAGCCTGAAATTTTTTTCTGTCATCTCAATTTTTGTTGGCATAACATCATGTTGAGTGCCAAAGGCATGAGGCATTATGGATTCTGGGGTATGCATCTCAAGGGAAAATTTTGAAATCTTGACCCTCTAAAATGCTATTTCCTGCATTTCGAGGGGCAAATTTTGCTCCCATGCACTGTGTCACTGTGTCATCTCAATTTTTGTTGACATAATATCATGTTGAGTGCTGAAGGTGTGAGGCAATACGGATTCTGGGGTATGCATCTCAAGGGAAAATTTTTGAAATCTTGACCCCCTGAAACGCATTTTGAGGGGCAAATTTTGCTCCCACTGTGTCACTAATTGATAAGAATCGCATTATACTGAACGACCTACCTAACATAAAGGTTCCAGCTCTTGATGATAAATGCATTGCAACTGGGTCTAGCCTTAGGTCCGAACATATGGTCAGTAGTACTGCATTACCGAGTCAAATCTCCGCCAAAAGGAGGTCAATGGAAACCATAAAATAACGATCTCTGACAGCAACGGCCATTATAGCCCTTATCTTACCTCACAAATCATGTAAAGAACCGATCCAACTGACGCTCCGAGAAGACAGAGCGCACGCCTCCAATCCATTGTGATTAGGGCTGGACCTGCCCTTGGTGCTGAACTGCCGGTGGTGGTTGCTTAAAATGGGCCTGAGTGGAAAACACATTAATGCAGTGTCTTAGTAGGGGATCCAACTTAAGAAGTTACCGTTACAGGCCACTGGCTATAGTGACCATGCCCATTAAGTGTAGTAGCATACCTTAGCATCATGTGGCATAATGGTAGGGCATTGAACCTAGAAACCACATAATAATAAATTATACTACCAGAACGGTAATATTTGCAAAGCAAATGCATAATGTTAACCTTCACATGGTCAAGCCTAACAAACTACTACTCTGTTTATTCTTACTCAAACACATTTAATATATATGGTGACCAGCCCCTCCAACTCTGTCCTACCATGCACTTGCTACATAATGTAACCCTACACCTCAGGTTGTCTTCTACATCACCTTGTTACCATGGTGACAGCCATCCGGTTCAGGTCGTTCACTTTATTTGTTCAGAGAAGAAGCAGAAAAGGACATTCCAGCAATCCATTGTGATTAGGGCTAGACCTGCCCTTGGTGCTGAACGGCTGGTGGTGGTTGCTTATAATGGACCTGAGTGGAAAACACATTAATGCAGGGTCTTAGTGGGGAATCCAACTTAAGAAGTTACTGTTACAGGCCACTGGTTGTGATGCCCGTACCCATTAAGTGTAACAGCATACCTTCAGCATTGTATGGCATAGGAGTAGGGCATTGGGCCTAGAAACCACGTAATAATGAATTATCCTACCAGAAAGGTCACATTTGCAAAGCAAATGCATAATGTTCACCTTCACATGGTCTAGCCTAACAAACTACCATTCTGTTTATTCTTACTCCAAACACATTCAATATATATGGTGACCAGCCCCTCCAACTCTGTCCTGCCATGCACTTGCTACATAATGTAACCCTACACCACAGGTTGTCTGCTACATCACCTTGTTACCATGGTGACAGCCATCCGGTTCAGGTCGTTCACTTTATTTGTTCAGAGAAACAGACGAAGACACTCCAACAATCCATTGTGATTACAGCTGGACCTGCCCTTGGTGCTGAACGGCTGGTGGTGGTTGCTTATAATGGGCCTGAGTGGAAAACACATTAATGCAGGGTCTTAAGTGGGGAATCAAACTTAAGACGTTACTGTTACAGGCCACTGGCTGTAATCCTTTTAACCATTAAGGGCAGAGGCATACCTTCAGGTTGCTGAGTGATTCAGTGGTCAATATGTTACCATGAAGGTTGTATCTGTTGGTATAGGTGTGCACTGGTTCTGTATGTACTACCTTTAAGCTTAGATGTGTACTGTTTTTGTATTAGTTTTAGTTTTGTTTGTATCACATCAGCAGTAAACTACTTCATGGCCTAATCCAACAGTTTTGTATCTAACCTTCATCCTGCCATGGTAGCCATTTTTGCCAAATTTGTTAGATGGTTAGGCAATAGGGAAGCTGCATAAGGCAGACTTATACATGTACATTCAATCATCTCATTCTTTTTGATAAATGGTGAAACCTTGGTTCCCCTGAAACATACCGAATGCTGAAATCCCCTAAACCAACAAGTTATGATCCTAAAAACTTTGCAACTTCCAAAGGGGATGGTTTGAAACATCCTTAGGAATTCATCATTTTTACCATCACACAAAAAGCAGGATGCAAGCTATTATATTCGTACCTTTTTCTGCTGATAAGATGACAATGCTTGGCTAGTTACGGTGATTTGTAGGAAAATTGCGTTGCAAAAGCATTTGCCATGCATTTGCTAAGTGCTCGTCATGTGATGCTGTACAACTCATTGCATTCAAACTACGTAATGTTTCTCATTACAGTACTCACATACATGGTGAAAACACATACAAAATGGGTACCCACCAAAGTGTCCCGAATGTCTTGCTATGATTAGAGCTTTAGATATGCTTAAAAAGTAGGTCACAGCACTTAAGAAGGCTCGTAAAAGACGGCTGTAAACTTAAGCTCTGTAGCGATCGAAGTAATTTCTCTTCACCAAGGCAATTTCTCAAGCTATACGTCTAGGCAGCCAGCTAAACATATTACAGCCAGGAGCACTTCTGGCCCCTTTGGGTGGAGATGCATCTGTGAGTAGTGATGCATACCGGTTCACTGGACTTGGATCCGGACTTGTAAGAATGTTTAGGTTCAAGTCCAAAAAAACCTGAAAGTCAAGAACGGAGTCCGGACTTATTACCATAAAAGACCATTTCACATACCCCTTTTCTTTCCAAACCACCTAAAACCTTCCGTAGATTGCAAAATCTTTGCTGCAAAATGAAGAAAACATTGCCATCGGGCATCATCAAGTACCATGTTATGTGGCCAAAGTTTCACCCAGACAATATTGCAAGGTTGACTTACAAGTCCGGAACTGAACCTAAACCTGTGGACTTAAATCCGGACCTGAACCTGATATTGGGTTTAGGTATGCATCACTATCTGTGAGTGGACATGCTTCTACATAATCTGCACTCCTGTATTCAAGTCATGCAGCTAGGATGTGCCTAATGGTCAAAGGGCGGACAGGGATGGGCTTGGCGTATGCATCACGTTGGGACAGTCACAATAAGGAAGCAAAGTTCAGCTTGAGTTTTATCATAGGTTTGGGATTGTGCTTGAGGCAGAATCTGTAGGGATTTAACAAGTGGGAGATGTGTGGCTGCCAACTAGGTCCTTGCACAGCAAGCTTGTATGCTGGAGCAGACCCCAGTAGCACATGGAGTCAGAACCTCTGCTTTTCCCTTTTCCTACAGTCCCCATGATAAAAAATACATGAATTAGGTGTTACTGGTTCAATGTGCACTGGAGCTAGGTGTTACTGGTCCACTGTGCACTGGAGCTAGGTGTTACTGGTTACATGTACTGCTGGTAAGCTGCGGTCTCGGCCATAGCATAGAAGAAAAAATACCACTTCTGACAAAAACTTTAAAAAAAACTATGTTCTTCCTTCCAGCTTCACCATAAGATGGTAGGTTCAAACCCCTTACAGTCTGATCTCGGGTTTGACATCTTGAAGAGGTGATAGTCACCTGTTATGTCAACCCTTCCACAAATGTGTTAAATCTTAATAAAAAAAAAGGAAAGGAAAAAATGTAATAAAAAAACCTGTCCTCTTCCTTCCAGCCTCACCACAAGACGGTAGATGACCACCCGGCTGCGGCACCTCTCGAGGCAGCCCCCGATGACGTGCCCGTGGCCCTCCCTCAGAAGGCGTATGACGACCTTGAACTTCCCAAGGACAAGGACGCTGCCGCTGTCCCACAGAAGTCTGGACCTGTCAAGGATGTGGACTTCAAGGCACAGGGGCTGGAGCTGGCAGGTAGGGAGAATTGATTAATTTTATTTCATTTATTGTGGATGCAACAGTACATAACAAGTGGTAGCCACGTAGCAACAAGGCTGGTAGCAGTGATACATACAGCATAATACAAACCACAACAACATACAAGACGTGCAACAAAATATCAATATTATACATAGCAATACGTCAATGAATGTTAGACATCCAGGTAATAAGACACGCCAAAAAGCAGTTACTCTAGCAACTGCATATGATTTTCGAAACAGTTTATTCTTCTTTATTTCATCTTTATTTGGAGATTTTGTTTTTTGTTCTACCACTTAGCTTTGTGAGGCAACAATTTTTTGTTTTGCGACCCTGAATTCTCATTGTATGCATCTAGCATTCACCTGAAGCATCAGTACAACTATCATCATCATGAGAAACAAGGAGATTCAGTATTACCTATACAACCAATTTCTACACACATGGGCACTGCCACACCGACTTAATTTTATGGATGACATCCGCGCGCGCATTGATTTTCGCCTGTTCTAAAAAAAAAAAGATCACGTCTGACCTGGCTCGACTGGTACTCCATGGTAGTTAGCAACAATACGGAGCAGGGGGTAACCCACCAAAGCTCCACGACTCAAGATCTCAGTACATACGTGCAGTGCCGATTCATAAATTCTGCAAAAAGCCAGCATGTGCCTGCTTGTCGTGTCCATCTCTTTGTACTGCTAGAAATTCACAATACCAGCTTTGTATTCCTGTGGTTTAGTAGCATTTTTATTTTTGGCCGGAATTTTTTTTATTTGCCCGCGCGCACTAGTTCAGAGGATGTCATCCATAAAATTAAGACAGTGTGGCCTTACTGTAATGCAGCAATCAGCATTCATCTCGCAAACCTTTTGCAGAACCACTTTACTGAAGTGGATGTTTAATTCTGCGCCCGGTCCCCATAGATGTTTCCATTTGGTTGGGGCAGGGGAGAAGTGGCCACTGACTTGCATATGAAGGATGGTAAATTGCACACCTGTAGGGCCTAGGCTACAAGAATTTGATTACTTGGTGCTTGGATTTTAAGGAAATGTTGAACTAGAAGATTTTTAATGTTATCTCCAAAGTTCATCTGTTGGTAGATGTCATTATGGTTTTTTGTTTTTTTGTTAATGCCCATGATCATGATAATGATCATGGGCATTATCATTTTATATTTTTCCTAATAAAAACCACAAAATATATCAATTTTCCAGTGTCCCAAGTGTGGCCGGGACTGCCATGCAAAGAAAGGACTGATTAGCCACACTAGACACAGCACACGGCCACAACACCAGACCTAAAGTGCTACCATAATTGATATGCTTGAGGCATGCCGAAAAGTTTTGACCCTTTGAAGGACTGTTAGTAGGATTGAAACCCATGACCAGTGCTCCAGAAGCAGAAGTGACAGCCATGCCACTTTACCCAAAATCCTAAAGCTGGGTCACGAGCGATTACTCTGCAGCACTGTTCGATCAATCTTTTATACCCTTTGCAGTGTCACATGCTGGGATTCAAACCTGTGACCCCCTGGTCAACAGGCAGGATTGCAAGCCACTTCATCTCAAAACCCTGCGTCACAAGCGATTGTTCTCTGGCACTGGTTAATCCACCTCATGTGCCTGAGTGCGCACTCGGGATTCGAACCCATGACCTGTGATCCACAGGTAATGGATTACCGACCACTTGCTCCAAAACCCTGCGTCATAAGCGATTGTTCTCTGGCACTGGTTAATCCATGTCACTGTTGAATCACGTGCCTGAGTCGGCAATCAGGATTCGAACCCAAGACCTGTGAACCACTTGCTCCAAAATGCTGCGTCATAAGCGATTGTTCTCTGGCACTGGTTAATCTATTTCCCTTACCCACTGTTGAATCACGTGCCTGAGTCAGCAATCAGGATTCGAACCCATGACCTGTGATCCACATTCAGGATTACCAACCACTTGCTCCAAAATGCCACGTCACAAGAGATTGTTCTGCAGCACTGGTTTACCAAATCTTCTTTACCCATTGTTGTGTCATGTGCTTGTCTTCTGACACTCCTACTTTTCTCATTGGTTCAACGCACAATATATGTACAATGTATATATTTAATGTATTATTTGTTTGGGTGTACTATAGAAATTTTATTTCACTGGCATAATTTATGACATAACCTAAGTTTGTGTTCCATTTACCTGCCAATTGGCCTCCTTCGAAAATCAGTCCTAAAGATTTATTAATAAGTAAATTTTCTGAATAACCCTGCACACCATCTTGTACCCCTAAGCTCTCCATCCTGTACCTTATTGCTATTCAGTCCTTCCTTCCACCATCCCTACAGTACATCTTCGGCGAGGTTTTATTGATATGAAACTGTCCTTGACACCAGGGGAGTCGTAGCGCGCTTGCCGGTGCCCGTCTGTTAAAATGGGCCGCCATTTGGGGAGAAGCGCCGCAATTTGGAATCCATCATTTCCGGGTCCCTGTGTGCAGATCTGTGTCGTGCACAGTTTACGAAACGTCCTGCAACTTTAGGCCAGAATAATCTATTTTATTGGTTTTTACGACATTTCAAAGATGAAATGACACCAATACAATAACACCGATACAACAGTACAGTTCCTGTTAATAGTCAACAGTCAGCACTTGTAAACTTTGATTCATGTCACTTTAGATCAATGGATTGCTTTGAAATTTAGGACTTTTTTACATGGAAAATCACCCTAAAACATTAACAGCATCCTAGTTGGAGTTTCTGTTCACAAAACTCCGATCGGGATTTCTGCCAGGAGAATCGCTGAATCTCTGCCATGACATATACAGTATAAATCTACACGTAGGCAAGCAGACATTTGGCCGGTAGAAGTGTTTTGGAATACTAGCAGTACTCGCATAGGCCACCCAAATTCATCTTCTCTACTTTAGGATGCTCCGAAGCAAAATCCATCAGCCACCAAGTTACGACAGTCAGAAAATGGTGAATTGCCTGCCAAAGGGCTGGCCATCAATACACATGAATCTGCACGGGTAGGCTGTCTCGTGACTGGTGGAATTGTCTTGGAATAACTTCAGCCGTTTAGGCCACTTCAATCAATCTTGGCTCTTGGACTTTTTGGAGTTAAATGGATTGCTTACATTGTACAGCTAGCAGTCAGAGAATGCTGCATTGTCCATGGCTATCAATATGTACAGGGCAACACAAAAAAAGGCTTGCAAGGAGTTGAAGTTTTTTCAGTCTCACTGATACCCGTAATAACAATTTTACAGTTCGAATCCTTTCTGAGTGTGATGCAGTCCTTATGTTCACTTACAGGGACAGAAATAGCACAGGCTCCATTACATCACAGTTCATTTTCTCATCCATCAATTGGGTACAATTTACAGTTTTACAGCAGATACGTCGGGCTTTAGCTTTTTATGGAGCAGAGTGCCTGAGATTAGGCAAGGACATAAACCAAGGTAAAAGCAATTTGCAGGCAATCTAATGCCACTTTTGCTGTTTTTTAAGGGTTTATAACTAAACCCCTCAAGGACAGTGAGATGTCTTCAATGGATAGTCAAGACATTAGTACTCCAAAATATTCACCTCTCAAAACATTCCATAACATGGCAAAAGTTACAGTTGCCTCTATAGAATGTTCATGATTAAAATATAGTGAGCAATTTTACATATAGTTGAAGCCTGAAATGATAAAAAGGTACTACTAGGCAATTGCCCAATCCTGCCATATAGTTGAATGATATTTACAAGGATTCATGGCTGTATCTATTTGTAGCTATTATATACTACACTGTATGGAGTTCAACTTCAATTGTTACAGCAAACTAAATGTAAATTTTGCCCCAAAACACAAAATTCAGCAAAAATTCACAAAAAACAAAGAAGCTGCGAACAAATTGAACAAAATCGTCAAATGTTTTTTTGCCTAAAGATGTCCAAGGTTGCCAGGGTGACCCAAAGAACATGTCACAAACAGCAAAACTGAAAGTAAATTTTGCCCCAACACACACAATTTAGTAAAAATTCACATTCCGAACAAATTAAATAAAATCCTTAAACATTTTTTTGCCAAAGACGTCCAAGGTTGCCAAGGGTGACCTAAAGGACAATGTCATAAACAGCAAGAACTGAATGTAAATTTTTCCCCAAAACACAAAATTTGGCAAAAATTCACATTCGGAACAAATTAAATCAAATTGTCGAATCTTTTTTTGCCAAAGACGTCCAAGGTTGCCAAGGGTGACCCAAAGGACAATGTCATAAACAGCGAGAGCGTAATCTGCAAAAAAAATCAATACACTGAATTATGCATGTTCTCCCGCCCCCCATCGACGAGGATTCGCCAGAGCTCGCACTGTGCCAACCTGCTGAAATCTACCCGTGACGCTTTCTCAGCAAGTTATGACAGTCAGGGAATCGTTATGGCTTGAAATACTTGAGCATGAAAATGTACAAAACCCACATGTACCATAAATCCAGTACATGGACCAGTGCAGGTTAGGTGCAGCTAGATATCAGAAATACCTGCACGGCTCCAATTTTACCTGCACTAACCTGCATATACCCAGTACATGGACCAGTGCAGGTTAGGTGCAGCTAGATATCAGAAATACCTGCACGGCTTCAATTTTACCTGCACTAAGGTGTATATGCACCCAGTATTTCCAGCCACTACAGTGAAGTGTCTGTAGAGGGGTTCACTATAATATATATGACACTAGGGTAGAGGTTCTAAACTGGTAGAATCGACAATTCTATCAGCATATAGAGGTCCCACTCAGTGTCTCTGCAGGGCTTGAAATACTGGGTGCCTGTGCATGTGCATGATACATGTAATTATCCTCTTGGCATTAATGTGGAATAAACTTCTAGCATTCATGCAAACTGGTTCATTGTAATTGATCAGCGATCATTGTACTAAAACTCAAGTTTTCACAATTATCATGATACATGTACATGTACATGCAGTAATCCTCTTGGCATTAATGTGGAATAAACTTCTAGTAT